GCAGGCCTAAAATTTGAAAACCCTGGAACAGAGGTGGAAGAGGAACATAGCATTCTTGTAGAGCAGACAATTCTCTTTCGAATGGTATATGAACGATGTAAAAGCATGGGGATTTAGATGAAAATTTTTTGGTTGAAAAAAAGCGACACTACTTATGAGACAACCTAATAGAACGACAGTGGAGAAAAAACTGAGAAAAACCGTCGACAAGGCCGTTAACAAAACCCTCTTTCCCACTAGCAGTGAAGGAGGCTGGCTTGGGGAAGAGGCACGTACAAACAAGTTTTCTGGAAGATATCAGTCGTTCTATCGGTTGATACGGCAATCAACCTAGCTGATTTCACACGTTATGCCAGCCATGCACCACATCCCGAGGTGGGCGGTCGTAGCGGGGCCAGGCGGCGATAGCGCATAGTACATGCCCTGGGGCCTTATTACTGCGCCGTTTCGGATTTTGAGTGTGGGAACATCTCTACGGGTGCGTAACCAAGTACAGGCATGACCGAAAGGGTTGGTTTGGTCAACTAATCCCGACCTTTGCCTTTAAATGGCTGTAACTTACTTCATAGCTAGACATTTTATCTGAAAGCGGATTGGATTTTTTTGAAGAGCACATTTGATTCAATATTGAGATCATGGAAATTAGTGAGAAATAACTAATATAGATTGATTAACGAGGAAAATTATGATAAGTGCGAGTTTTTACATCTTCCTAGACCATATCTCCCTTTGTCAAATTGTAAAAGTTAGTACAGCGTTGCAAATTGAAAAACCTGGCTATTTAACAATTTCTGAAAGAAAACATGATTCGTTCAGTGTGTCAAAAATAGCTCCCTTGAGAATTTTCGCAAAACTAACAAGGAAAATGTCCGAGAAGCACGAATTTTTACACTTCTCAGAGCCATAACTTCCTTCAAATTTTTCAACTCAAGTAAGTTGACGAATGTTAATATAGCATTGTGTTGAGCCTATTTGAGACTTGTTGAAAAGTCTTGATTCACTCAAAGGTCAAAGAATTCCTCCGGTGAGGGTTTAGCCCAAGTATCCCCAAGTGGTTCTCCTTCGCTGTAATAAGGAATCTTGCGCGGAAAATTCTTGCACTCTTTCCTAACATGAATATGTCAGTTGTGATCACTGGAAATAGCACACAAAGTTTCACGCATGAAGATTCGGTTTCTGAAGAGAAACAAACGTACAAAAACTACACGTTATGGACCATCGAAGGACCAGGAGGCAGAGCCAGGCGAGGCATGGAAAGAAGACGGCGTTTGGCCGGCTACGTACCAGGCGACGCAATGAGAGAATCGGGTTAAAGCGCGCGATTTCGGAGAGTGGAGACAAATCGATCGATGGAATAGGATGGAGTAGAAGTGTAAGATGTGAATGCAACGAAGCAGAAGGCCAGAAAGAGCTTCTAGTGAATGCACTCCAAGAACCAAGTTTGAGCATCCCCGTCGCCAGCATTCGTGAAAGACGTCCGTGGGCAATTCGAACGCGTAGCAGCCTTTTCGAGTTTTCGAATTTCTAATCAAAACGAAAGCAATACTTCAGTTCTTTTCACTATTATCGTGGATAATGAGTCTCAAGCCAGTGATTTATGGCTGAAATAGAATCATGATTTTTCCGCGCAAGATTCCTTTAACCCCCTTCGAACGACTAGAGGTTTTTCGGGGACGATTTTGTATAAAAAGAAGCAGATTCAAAACCAGAAAGCTTCTTTGTTTCTAACAAGTGAAGAACTGTTCAGCAAAATTCAACATTGACGATTATTTATTTTTAAATTTCACTCGCAAAACTGCATTTCTTTTTGAATAGTGGACTCGCCGCTGTCATTTTACACAACCCCTTTCAGAATCCTCTTGATTTTTCCTGAATTGAGATTTTTTTCCAGAGAGCCGTAGTTGAAGCGCGCAACCAACTGGGCCCACTCTGGGATGCGCCGTGTGCTTCACATCCCTTCAGATTCGTGGACTCACTTGAAAGATAAAATATCGGGAACGTACGAATTTCGGATTCTTGAAGCTTAGGGTGGCCCAAAATTTTTACCTGGACTCATTTTAATCATTTCATAAAAAATTCATTTGCGAGGAATAACATTGTCATTGGAAATCCTTCGGCTAATCTTACACGGCAGATCACTCTTTGATGTTTGTCCTTCGAAAGTGGTGAAAATACTTCATGGGCTAGCCCTTTCTTCCAGCGGGTTAAATACGATCCCCTCTGTCAAGCTGTCAAGGGTTCCTCAAGGCACGCTTGACCCTGCACCAACGTGGCGCCGAGCGGCGTCATAGAGACTCGAATGGCATCGGTGCCAGAAATGTATGTCGTATTACATTTGTTACCAGGGCACTGAATGACCCTTATGTGGGGCCCAGGTTTCAGAGGAGATTGTGAAGTTGACGTAACCTAGAAAAGCTACCGTACTGCAAAACAATGGCTTCAAAATGGAGAAGGGGCAGGGGCAGCTGTGCGTTACGCAACTTCTTCAGAACTCTCCCTTTTAGAAGGCATCAATACGACTCCTCTCCCTATTTTAGTATGTGAGCAATTCTGCGTATTTGGGCATTTGCGTTCAAAAACAATTTGTGTACAGAGTGCAGCTTTTGTACACAATTTGTTTTTACTCCTGAGAGCAGCAAATGGCAAGAGCACAAATGATCAGAACGGCGTCTCGCTCGCTCCAATTCCCAAGGAGGAAGGTGAGAACCCTAGGACTAAGCCTTGGAGGGAAGAGGGACTCCGGGTGGGTGAGCCAATTACAGTGTGGCAAAGTTTGAATGTGTGAGATCACAATGTACATGAGCCGGCGTTTAGGCAAGAAAGCACAAGTTAGAACACTATACATTGAGGCGGTTCAAAGGACCGAGTTCAAGTGCGTAACCTAACGGCAATTGATGGTGGAAATTCGAAACCAAGAGTTCGCGCCCTTACCAGAGCACGGCTTGCCGAGGAGCGCTTTTTTTTCTCGTTCAAAGAAGGGAATCGAGTCGATGCGGAGTTTAAATTCTGGATAGGAGTAATTTCCAATTCTTCCATGAGCATCATCATAGTTACGAAGCCTTCTACTTTCAGCAACCTTTCGAGATTTCTTTGAACTTTCTAAACTCCTTTTTTTATACACTGAAAAATCAAATCTGCAGTAGTTACGGGCCTTTCATTTAGAAGTTACATCTTTCTTCGTCAGCGTCCTCAGGTGCCTGACTCAAAAAACAATCAAAAAATCTGTTGCGGTGTGGAAATCGCTCCTATGGCACCTAGGAAACCAAATTATGAAACTCTGAAGGAAGCATTTCCAAGTGAGCTGCAGCTCACTGGCAGGGTGGATCCTTGTTAAAGCGAGAGATTACGATAAAGTGTGTGTAGTGTGGAAGTACATGCACCAGTGGAAGCAGTAGTCAGGGGCCCAAGGAAGCGAAATGTTGGCGTTTTTGTGGCCAAAGGTGCGCTAGTTGCAGCGTACTGGGCTTGCCATTCCTTTCTGAGCTCCGCCACGGCCTGTGCTCCGCCCCCAGCAGCAGCGTCCTTCGATTATCATTTTGATGAGGTATTCCACTTTGAGTGCGTATCCTATAACTTTCCCATGGAATGCGTTATCAATCAAAGCATGGCCTTTGCTGGTATGATGGTGGCTATCGGTTTAACATGTGCAAACGACCTCTAATTGGTTGCTAGCTCGTCCATTATCGGAGGTCAACGGGCAAAGAAAGGGGTCCCATTTTGCGCGTTCTTGACGGATTTTTCTTTGCTTTTTTCGCCACTGGGGCATTATTCAGCATCTCCACTTCCACTATGAACCCAGTCCAATCTTATCGTAATCCCTCGCTTCAGAGCGCAGCCGTAAAACGCGCAGGATGGGTTCCCTGGCAGAAAACGGGACGCGGAAGAGCGAAAAACACTGTGTTTGGAGAGACGCAGGTGACGCACGTTACGCGCAGCAAAAAGTCCTTCGGGTTGGCGACTTCAAACTGCCAGGTGCGTGGGTCAAAGCACGGTGTTGGAAAGGGAAAGGAGGCTTCTTGCATTGATTCGTCAGTGGTGCAGCTCCTGCAATCCACGTTGATGTTGGATCGGTCACGGGATCAATTTTCGAGAGTTTTAAAGGTTTGCAACCTTCGAAGGCTATTCCCTTTCCTCTACAACTCTTTCACCACTGATAAGAAGGGCTCCTAGTGCAGTGGTAACGATGCCGCTCATGGGACGGTGCACCGAAAGTTCGAACCCGTGTGTGACGCAAGGTTTGCAGGCAACGTGGGGCTCACCACTTCCACTATGGCAAATTACCAATGGCTCAATAGGAACGTTCCACGCTGCCGCTGGCAAGGTTGCTGGATCTACACCGCTTGGAGTCTAAGATTTGCAAACAACATCCGTTGCTTACCTGTTGTCAAGACCTCTTCCGATGATCGAGTGATCCCTGGTGCACTGGCAAAAACCCGGCTTTGAGTCCTGTCATCCAGGGTTCAAGTCCGAGAGTGGCGCAAGTTTTGCAGATAGTGTGGCGAGGCTGGGGATTCAAGAAGGGTCAATTTCCCTCCATAATCATTTCATCATTCTACGTTCCTTGTTCCTCATTAGTGGGTAAAAATCACCACATTTGATTCTCAGTCTAGGGCACTTACTAACATCCCTGATCTTTCTTCGATCAGTATTCAGTGGACTTCTACAAGAGAGGCATCGATCAGCTTCTAGTGCCTTCACGACTGCTTTTCTGCCGCGTTGCAGTTGCTACAAGTTCCCATACGGTAAAGCCAATATGTGCGCTCATGTGCATAACTTTCATGGAGTGACACGCATTGATAATATCACAATGGCAACGTTCCACGCTGCCAGTGGCGGGTCACGGGATCGATACCGCATGAACCCATATTCTGCAGTGAGCACCGGAATGTTATTCGTTCTCAACATTTCTTCCAGTTCAACATTAATGCCAGCTGTTGTGAAGTGTTCCGTGGTGCACTGACAACGACCGGCCCTCCAGTCGGATCATCCAGAGATCAATTCCGGGTAAAAATTCAGTTCTGCAGCCACTGTGGCAGAGCTGGCACTATCCTCCATGTTTCCGCTTTCCGCTGGTGCACACCGTATGGCGCAGTGCCTGGCCCCTACGCCGTCACCGGCCTGTAGGCAGATCGATACCGCCCGGCGCGAGTTTTTTGCAAACAGCCTGGGCCATCCTAATGTGATCAGCGACCCTCCAGGGGGAAGTGCTACTGTTCCGTGGTGCAGTGGCAACGATAGCGGTTCAGCTGCGCATGACCTGGGTTCGGTCCTCGTGGAGGGAAGAAGTTTTGCTCACGATGTCGCGAAGTTGCGCGTTTCTAATCTGGTTACCTTCCAACTTCAGAATCTTTACGGGCATTTGAGCGTTATTCTCAACAGCCAGTTTAGTGTAGATTACTACCTGAAAAATTCTGAAAAATTCAAATTGTTTTCTCTCCGAAAAATTTCTTCAAAATCAACTTTTTGCAGATAGCTGAAGCTAATTGGAAGCTAGAAGATCAGAGCTTGCAGAGCAGCACTGAGACTTATCAAAAAGTTGACTCCTTTAGAGAACAGTCCCGTTGTTCCGTTTTCTCTTTTATGACTCTTTCAGGCCATTTTCCTTAAAGGCGACTTTTCAACCTCCAGACGCCCATAATTTTCTTCAGAATTGGTGTGATGAGAAGCGGTTACCCTTGGAATCTACATAACTAATTCTTTGTGAAGCATGTGGAATTTTCCTGGAAATCTCAATTTCGCTAGGATAGATTTTTTGAAGCGAATCCTACAAATTTGTTCCACTTTTCTCAACTTAGATTTAGTGCCAAAGCATCAAGCTACTTCTGGAGAAATCTGCCTGCTCCTAGCCACTGAAAGAGAAATGTTTCGAGGTAGAAACTAATGCTCAGGGATAAGCCGTGAACTATCAGTGGTTAGCAGTCGTACTGGCATTCGAAGGCCCTCCTTTTCCCTGGACACCGAGAGTATTGCGATTATTATTGTGTATGTGTCATGGTAATCCTGTTTTATTTGTTTCACTTGTAGGATTATATTATTATATTATTATTACTATTTTGATTCTGATAGGATTGTATTTCATCACATTTTCTCACAAGCTAACTTTCCTACTGCATTGCGCATCCCCTCCACTTCTCAGCAACTAGGGATTGCCATGCACTCCACCGTTGGTTTCCGCGTTTACGACCCTACCCTCTCCTTTGGCCAAATACGACCCTCTCCTTGTTCTTTGCGCAGCGGGCGGTTGATTTTGTAAGGGGGAGGGGGTCGTAAATACAGGAGGTAGTGTCTAGAATCTTGACGCCCCCGCGTTTCGAATCAGCCTGAATACAGCTTATCACTGCTGCTGCGCGTCGGTCTTACGTAGAGGCGGACAATGCTTCTACCAGAAGGTGCGGGATAAGGACATAAAGTGAAGCTATTCGAGAGAGCACAAATCTCCTCAAATTCGCGCTTTGAAATTTCTAGTTAGAATGAAATCATTGTTCTCAAAAGCACAGCAAACTTTTTGGAACATGTGGAGGTGCTTCTGTCAGAAAGGGAAAATTCAATTCAGGTCATATGGTTATTCCTGAATTTAAATTTAAGAGCAGCGTTTATACGTGAACTAGAGCGAAGTGGTAAGCTTATCTAAGAAATTCTCTAGTATCTCTTGAAGAAGCACTGAATTTCTATAATGTTTATTTTTGTCCGTGTGTTCTTTTTGTCTTGTGCAAATGGAGTTTTCGAGTAGTGATCTGATCCCCAAAACTGTTACTGTCCACCGAAAATGAAGGTAAGAAGCATCCTGGGCTTACTCTCACTGATCAGTGCTTATCCAATTCGTCGTCGTGGGCGCTGCTCGGTTCGGTGCGTGCCCGTTCACTGTGAGTGGAGCTCCGCCTAGCTGATACGTGTTTTATACTTCTTGACCCACGTTCAGCCTCACAGACTCGACCCGAACTCTGTAGCAGAGTGAAAATCGTGTCTAGGAAATGACCACGTCTTTACGACCCCCTCTCCCTTTACCGGTGGCTTCGATACGACCGCTTCTTGTCAGTATTAGACGAGGCAGGCAGCGGGGCACAGCACTCGGCCGGATTGCCTCTTTCCAGCTTCAAATTCCCACACAGGCAGAATTTTGCTCATTATTCGACATTCCTATGATGACTTTTAAATCTATTCCAGTAAAAAGAGTCCTAAAGGAAACCGAACGGTCAAAATCATAAATATCTTCTGGATCACAACCCGAAGACGGACCAACCTGTGGTAGACGAGAAAGTAAAGGGAAAACAGGAAAGATTCTGCTAGAAAGGAACGTAGCAAAAAGGAAAGGAAGTTCAGGCAGTTGAGCAGTCTAGCGCTCCATCAGATCGGTACTACTGTAAGCGCTAACGTCGCGCGCGCCTTTCGATTGGAGCGAAAATCGCCAAATCTACCCTCTTTTTGATGGACTATAACTTTCCGCAATGACAAGTATTTCAAAAAAGAAAGGCAGATTCTGTCCGCACACGACTTCTAGTTTCCAAATTGTACTGAGCTTTTTTTCAAGCACTTCTTGCCTCGAAAGTTGAAGACGTCGAGGAAATGTCGAGGAATTTGAAATTTACATGCGAGTTTCGCTCTTCAAAAGACTAACTCTCTGCAATGGTAATCTTTCGAGAATTGCAGACGAGAGTTGTAAACTACAGTGCGTACCAAAAGTATGTGGACACCCTGGAATCGATTCTCAGGGGTCAGCTAAAGGCTTTTATGTCATGAAACCTTCACCATTCAACTCCTAGTGGTCGATAACCTACAATGATATTTTCGGCAAAAGATTTCGTTCTAACTTAGCGAACTATTTTTCATGGAAAGTTTTTTCTTTGTATCAAAATTATGTGGACACTTTTTGAAAAACGGCAATATCTTCAGAATCTGAAATCGGTAGGCCTACCAAAGTTTCTAGTAAGTTGAGCCATTCTGTTTGGCATGCTATGAATGGGGTCTGGATACATGTCTTGCAGATCTGTTCCCAACTAGCAAATTTCACCGACGTGTTAGGTCACTTGTGATATTACTCTTTTGTTCAATGACGTAGAGACCGCGAACCACGATACCTCTACGTTTTCAATAAGGATGAAGTCTGAGGAATACGCTAGCCGACTTGCCAATCAAAGCCGTTGCGTTTAGCATTTTTCCAAATGGAATGGTGTCAGGGACCTCCCCTGCAAAACAAGTGATTTGCAACCATGACTTTTCGAAAAAGGTTGTAGCCGGGACTCAAGCACCTCATTATAATCCTAGTCGTCTACCTGACATGTTGGCAAGCCAAACTTCAATGTCCCCCTCCTTTTGGAACCACCCCAGACCTTTGATGAACATCTTCCGAATTGTCTCTTCGAGCACATCTGCGGGTCCGACCAAAGTCTCTCCAAAAACCTCAAGACCCACCCGAATAGTAAGGAATAAGCTTCTTTCTGCCAGTCGAGTTGGTCTATGAGAGAAATTTCCACAGAAAGTCTTTTATACTAATTTTACCATTTCCACGAAAGCACTGTCTGTGTGGGTTCAAAGTATCATGTTGTGATCTTTTTTGAGTGGGAATTCCAACCTTGCCAACCTGAACCCGCATTCATATACAAAGCCTTCTTCATCTTCTTTCGTGTCGTGTGCTCAATTGATTGAATGAGACACCGATTGGTCTTTTTTAAGATCGGGAAGATCATTTATGCGTAAAGTTGAGTAGTACGAAAAGAATAATTTGAGAAAAAAGGCTATTCCTGTTTTGAACAAGTAGCGATTGAGAACAACCCTCAGTCAAGGTCGAGAGCTTAGCATCAGGATTTCGGATTTCTCTCCAAACCTACGAGGACGCATGACTGGTTGACGTGCTATTTCGCAATAGGAAGGTTCAGAAGCATGGGGATCCCATTTCTGTGCTCGGTCTTCTTCAGAAAAACGCTTGCCGTGAAGAGGAATGATGCCAGAATAAGTAACGAAAGGAGAAGTAAAAATAGGTTAGGAAATCGATGCAAAAACTTCATCTGCCTCAGGGTGTCCACATAATTTTGATACAAAGAAAAAACTTTCCATGAAAAATAGTTCGCTAAGTTAGAACGAAATCTTTTGCCGAAAATGTCATTGTAGGTTATCGACCACTAGGAGTTGAATGGTGAAGGTTTCATAACACAAAAAGCCTTTAGCTGACTCCTGAGAATCGATTCTAGGGTGTCCACATACTTTTGGTACGCACTGTAGGAGGTTGGCTCTTCCAGACTTTTACGGCGATGGTTAAGCATATTTCCCTAATTGAGAGAAATCTGCGTCGAGGAAATATCGAGGAAATTTCGAAGCTACTAGAAAACTCTACTTCTCCCTCACCGTAACAAGGAACTTCTTCGAAACACTCAAAATGCTTCTTGGACACATCACCTCGATGGAGTGAATAGGAAATGATACACTTGGCGCAAATCTGTTACGTTTTGGTATGCGCCGTGCAGAGACCCCACTCAGAATCATTTGAAAGGTGTTTCGTCTACAAAACAAAATGCTTGTGCAAACCAAAAGGTTTCTAGTCTCAAATGAGTAGAGTGACTCTTATAGTCATAGTCTAGTTCGATCATTCTTTCATTTACGTCGGTTCGTTCCCAACCTTCATCCGATAAATGACGTATTTACGGCTGCAGTATGCGTCTATGATACAGGGTTTTCCACCCCAATTCGTAAACCTTGCATTCCATTTCGGAAACGTTGCAACCAATTTCGTAAACGTTGCCCATTTCGTAAACGTTGCAGCCCATTTCGTAAACGTTCCAGCCCATTTCGTAAACGTTGCAACCGATTTCGTCATTCTAACGCCCAATTCGTCATTCTTGCAAGCAATTTCGGAACGTTGCAACCAATTTCGTCAAAGTTCCAGCACATTTCG